GTTGAGTATACCTGGTAAAGTGTATGGTAGAGTTATTATTGAAAGAATTAAGAGTAAGATGGAGAATAGGATAGCAGATGAACAAGGAGGCTTTAGGAAAGGTAGGGGGTGTGTGGACCAGGTGTTTACAGTGAAACATATAAGTGAACAGTATTTAGATAAGGCTAAAAAGGTCTTTATGGCATTTATGGATTTGGAAAAGGCGTATGACAGGGTGGATAGGGGGGCAATGTGGCAGATGTTGCAGGTGTATGGTGTAGGAGGTTGGTTACTGAAAGCAGTGAAGAGTTTTTACGAGGATAGTGAGGCTCAAGTTAGAGTATGTAGGAAAGAGGGAAATTATTTCCCAGTAAAAGTAGGCCTTAGACAAGGATGTGTGATGTCACCATGGTTGTTTAATATATTTATAGATGGGGTTGTAAGAGAAGTAAATGCGAGGGTCTTGGCAAAAGGCGTGGAGTTAAAAGATAAAGAATCACACAAAGTGGGAGTTGTCACAGTTGCTCTTTGCTGATGACACTGTGTTCTTGGGAGATTCTGAAGAGAAGTTGCAGAGATTGGTGGATGAATTTGGTAGGGTATGCGAAAGAAGAAAATTAAAAGTGAATACAGGAAAGAGTAAGGTTACGAGGATAAAAAGATTAGGTGATGAAAGACTGGATATCAGATTGGAGGGAGAGAGTATGGAGGAGGTGAATGTATTCAGATACAGTGGACCCCCGCATAACAATTACCTCCAAATGCGACCAATTATGTAAGTGTATTTATGTAAGTGCGTTTGTACGTGTATGTTTGGGGGTCTGAAATGGACTAATCTACTTCACAATATTTCTTATGGGAACAAATTCGGTCAGTACTGGCACCTGAACATACTTCTGGAGTGAAAAAATATCGTTAACCGGGGGTCCACTGTATTTGGGAGTGGACGTGTCAGCGGATGGGTCTATGAAAGATGAGGTGAATCATAGAATTGATGAGGGGAAAAGAATGAGTGGTGCACTTAGGAGTCTGTGGAGACAAAGAACTTCGTCCTTGGAGGCAAAGAGGGGAATGTATGAGAGTATAGTTTCACCAACGCTCTTATATGGGTGTGAAGCATGGGTGATGAATGTTGCAGCGAGGAGAAGGCTGGAGGCAGTGGAGATGTCATGTCTGAGGGCAATGTGTGGTGTGAATATAATGCAGAGAATTCGTAGTTTGGAAGTTAGGAGGAGGTGCGGGATTACCAAAACTGTTGTCCAGAGGGCTGAGGAAGGGTTGTTGAGGTGGTTCGGACATGTAGAGAGAATGGAGTGAAACAGAGTGACTTCAAGAGTGTATCAGTCTGTAGTGGAAGGAAGGCGGGGTAGGGGTCGGCCTAGGAAAGGTTGGAGGGAGGGGGTAAAGGAGGTTTTGTGTGCGAGGGGCTTGGACTTCCAGCAGGCATGCGTGAGCGTGTTTGATAGGAGTGAATGGAAACAAATGGTTTTTAATACTTGACATACTGTTGGAGTGTGAGCAAAGTAACATTTATGAAGGGATTCAGGGAAACCGGCAGGCCGGACTTGAGTCCTGGAGATGGGAAGTACAGTGCCTGCACTCTGAAGGAGGGGTGTTAATGCTGCAGTTTAAAAACTGTAGTGTAAAGCACCCTTCTGGCAAGACAGTGATGGAGTGAATGATGGTGAAAGTTTTTCTTTTTTGGGCCACCCTGCCTTGGTGGGAATCAGCCAGTTTGATAATAATAATAATAATATTGTCATACAATTTAATTGAAAGGGAAATTTAAATTACATTAAAAAAGTTACTTGTTCACTGATATAGACACATCACAAACGCTCTGCTTAAAATCATTCTATTTAATTCATGCTCATGACGAAATTGGCCTGAAAAAATCACTTTTAATTTTTCATTCTTCATTTTAATTTTTTTGAAATTATTTCCAAGTATTTTAACAACTGCCAAACAAAATTATATATATCTTTCCTGAAATATCTGACCAAAAATAAACAGTAATGTAAATATTTTATTTTCTTCATAAATTCTTATTAAATTTAATAAATATTCAAAAAGAGAAACTTATATTTAAATATTAAATTTTTTTAGAAATTAGTAAGCAACTATAAACCCTTTCTGGAAAGGTTCATACTGAAAAGGTTTTTCTATTCTTAAATAATTGATATATGGCTGATTCCATGTTCTTCTCTATTAATTTTATGATGGAGAAGTATTTCTCAGAAATAAAATTTTCTTCTTCTCACAAGCCTTTTAAACAAAGAAAATCACTTTAAAATATAGTTGATATATTAATTTTTATATTTTCAGTTTTTTCAATACCAAAAACTCCAAAATTTCTGTCAATAAAAAAAAACCCTGTAGTAAATAGTTTAAATATTCTCTTGTTCCAATTTAAAAAGTTCAAGGGTCTATATAAGTTTAGAAATATTACTTTAATTGCTAATTTAGTACTGTATGCATTTCAATGGATTATATGTGAAAAAGAAAAAAGATGTTATTACATAATATGATAAGCGCAATATGATATTTAAAGATTTAAAGTTTTTAATACTTAAAAAAATTCGTATAACAGGAATAGAAAAATTAAGTATATAGATCTTAAGACATTTTGATTGGAAAAATGTTCTAGTATTTTAAAAATATCAAATGATTATTTTGACTAATTTTTTTCCCCCCTTATATTCAATTTATAATAAAAATTATATTAAAAAATATATTTAAAATTATTTAATATAATTATATATTTCTCTATCTCTATCTTTTCTCTCTCTCTATATATATATTATATCTCTAATATATATTTTCTCTCTCTTATTTTTATCTCTCTCTCTCTTTTCTTTTATATATATCTTCTCTCTCTCTCTTATTCTCTCTCTCTCTCTCTTTCTCTCTCTCTCTCTATATATTTTTTATATATATATATATATATTATATAAATATATTATTATATATATTATATATATATATATATATAATATTTATATTATATATATATTATATAATATTTAAATATCTCTCTCTTATATAATCTCTTCTTCTATTATCTCTCTCTTCTATATATAATCTCTTCCTCTATTTATTCTCTCTCTCCTCTCTGTCTCTCTATATATATTATTTATATATTTTAGTTTATTTTTTAATATATTTATATATATATATTCTTTCTATATTATAATTATTTTCTTCTATATTATATAATTTCTAAATATATATTTTATATATCTTTACTTATATTATCTCTCGTCTTACTCTCTTTTATATTTTCGTTTTTCTCTATATATCTCTCTCTCTCTATATCTCTCTCTCTTCTCTCTCTATATAACATTATTAATATTTATATATATTAATTTTTATATTATATAAATTTTATATAATATAATATTATATAAATATTCATATTTATATATATATATATTATATTTATTTCTTATTTATATATATATATATTTCTCTTTATATCTACTCCTTTCTAGCTTCTACTCTCTCCCCTAAAATATTATATATATTATATTTATATTTTATTATATATTTATTAATATATATTATATATAATATATTTTAAATATTATTAAAATTTATAATTCTATATATCTTCTATATAATTCATATTTTCTACTTATATTTCTTTTTTCCTATATACTTCTTTTTTCTAATATAATTTAATATTATTATATTTAATATATATTATATTATATATATATCTATATATAAAATAAAAATATTATATATTATATATATTATATATAATATATATATATATATATTTATATATATATATATAATTTTATATATATATATATATTTTTATATATATATTATTTTATATTTATATATAAATAATATTTTTATATATATATAAATATATATTATTATATATATTATATATATTATATATATATATATAATATTATTTATATTATATATTATATATAAAATAATAATATATTTTTAAATTTTTAAATATTTTATATATATTATAATTAATATATTAATTATATAATATATTATAAGAATTAATATTATATATATATATTATAAATTATATATATATTTATATATTTAAATATATATAATAATATATTATTTAATATATATATATATATTATATTATATTGATAAATATATATATATATATTATAATATATATATTAATATATAATATATTTATATATATATATAATAAAAATATATATAATATTTTTTTATATATCATTATATATATATAATATATATATATTCTATATCTCTCTCTTTTAATATATATACTCTTCTCTTATATATCTCTCTCTTCTCTATATATCTCTCTCCCCTCTCACTAATATATATCTCTCTCTCTTATATATATATCTCTCTCCTCTCTCTATAATCTCTCTCTCTCTCTATTTCTCTCTCTCTCTCCTATATATATATATATTTATATATATATATATAATATATATATTATATATATAATATATAATATATATATATATCTATATCTATCTCTATCTCTATCTCTCTCTATATCTCTCTCTTTTCTCTTCTATATATATAAAATATAATATAATTAATATAATATATATATATATATATTATATATTTATAATATATATAATATATCTACTCTCTCTTTATCTCTCTCTTTATCTCTCTCTCTATCTCTCTCTCTCTTATATATATATATATCTCTCTCTCTCTATATCTCTCTCTCTATCTCTCTCTATCTATCTATCTATCTATCTCTATCTATCTATCTCTATCTCTCTCTCTCTCTCTCTCTCTCTCTATCTCTCCACATATAGATTCACAAAACTCCTTTAGGAGTTCAACTTTTTCCCTTAAGGCATAAAAGTTAATGGTGATACACAACTACAGTCAATATGCAAGTCTGCATTCAAGAAAAAAATAGAAAAAGAAAATAGGTGAGGTTAGATCAGAAGATGGATGATGGCAATAGCTACTGACTGAGCTATCACAATCCCCATAAAGTTAACTGCTAATTCTACAATTACCATAATACATACCTTCAGCAACTTAATGAATTCTTCATCCATGCGATCAACAATGGTGAGAACGCAGCCTCGTACTAGTAGTGGTGCCTTTTCCAGACTTTCTGTCTCTTCTGTTACATGTTCTCCAATTGTCAAATCTGGATTGGCAATAAGCATATCTAACAATTCATCAATTTTCAGTAGAACCTATTGGGAATAATAAATACAGTGTTACTATGACCACACTTTAGCAAATATTTACAAGAAATCTTTAAAATTATATAATTCAAAGCATGTGTAACTTTAGCACCAACCACATAATAATGGAAATATCTTTTTTCTTCTTGCAACAAATCAGCCATATCCCACTGAGGCAGAGTGACCCAAAAAGAAAAACGAAAGTTTCTATTTTTAAATTTAGTAATTTATACAGAATAAGGGGTTATTAGCCCCTTGCTCCCAGCATTTTAGTTGCCTCTTAGAACATGCATGGCTTACAGAGGAAGAATTCTGTTCCACTTCCCCATGGAGATAAGAAATAAACAAGAACTAGTAAGAAAATAGAAGAAAACCCAGAGGGGTGTGTATATATATGCTTGTACATGTATGTGTAGTGTGACCTAAGTGTAAGTAGAAGTAGCAAGACGTACCTGAAATCCTGCACGTTTATGAGAAAGAGAAAAGACACCAGCAATCCTACAATCATGTAAAACAAGTACACCTACCATCCGACTTATGACCTGCTCAACGTATGTCCTCTCGACTTACGACCGTGCATCTGGCAGCTGGGCTGGGCAGGCTAATGCATACCGCTGTACAATATTTAACGATACTCGCAGTGGCAATGCGCCATGCAGGCAGCATCAGTTTGAGTAACCCTGCCCTATCAGCAGCATCATACTGTATTAACTGGACAGTAAATTTCACCATGGCCCCTAAGAGGAAGTCTGAATCTTGCACTGGAGATTGTGGCAAGAAAGTCTCTTACTATCGAACTCTCTTTATTTGTTTTCACTGTTGCACATAAACCTGTCTGTATGTGTGCCTGTTTATGTCTGTATCTGTCTGTCTATCTATATGTCTGTCTGTGTCTATCTGTTTATCTGTCTTTATGTCTTCCTGTGTGTCCTTAAGTCTACCTGTGTCTCTGTCTACCTGTGTGTCTGTCTTTCTGTCTGCTTGTGTGTCTGTCTTTGTCTGCTTGTCTGTCTCAGAGCCGCTCATGAGCCAACAAGTATTATATATGAAGCAGAGTCACCACATCTTCAATATGATGCTAATGTCGCTCTGTGGCTTATTTATCTATCAAAATTCATCTAATATGGCATAATAAACAATATAAATAACAATAACCTGATATACACTCTAGAATGAATAAAATATGAACTTAACTGCTTTAAACTCCACATCGTGTGCCTGTGCTGGTGTGCAGGTACACATTAAAATCGTTAAGAGTGTGTAACTGGTCTTGAAGGCGCCATATTAACAATGATTATAATAACACACTTAGGTAGTAGGTTGGTAGACAGCAACCGCCCAGGGAGGTACTACCGTTCTGCCAAGTGAGTGTGAAACGAAAGCCTGTAATTGTTTTACATGATGGTAGGATTGCTGGTGTCTTTTTATTGTTTCATACACATGCAAGATTTCAGGTATGTCTTGCTACTTCTACTTACACTTAGGTCACACTACAAATACATGTACAAACATATATATACACACCCCTCTGGGTTTTCTTCTATTTTCTTTCTAATTCTTGTTCTTGTTTATTTCCTCTTACCTCCAAGGGGAAGTGGAACAGAATTCTTCTTCCGTAAGCCATGCGTGTTGTAAGAGGCGACTAAAATGCCGGGAGTAACCCCTTCTCCTGTATAAATTACTAAATTTAAAAAGAGAAACTTTTCTTTTTGTTTTTGGGCCACCCTGCCTCGGTGGGATACGGCCGGTTTGTTGAAAGAAAAGAAGAAGAAAGAATAACAACACAATAATAATCACTCTGAAGTGCATTATTTCCTCTAATCTCCATGGGAAAGTGGGACAGAATTCTTCCTCCATAAGCCATGCATTTCTTTAAGGGGAAAACTAAATTTTATGGGGCAAGGGGCTAGTACCCTTTCATCTTTTAAAAATTACTAAATATAAAAAGAAAAACTTTTTTCTTTTTAGAGTAATGCCTTGGTGAGATCAGGCCAGTAAAAAAAAAAACTCTTCTGGCCAAGCAGATTTTGTGCCTTTCATTCTAATATCCTTTAAATTGGGGGTTTTTTGTCAGAAAGCTCTTTAGTAGGTTGGTGACGAAACCCCCCGGGGAAGATACGTCCTGCCAGATGCTGTGAAACAAAAACCTGTAACTGTTTTGCTGATGGTGGGTTTTGCTGGTTTTTTTTTCTGTCTCAAAAAACACGCTAAGAAAAGGGATATCTTGTACTCCTACTTACCTTTGGTCAACTTACGACACGCACAGCATATATATATATACTACATCTAGGTTTTTTCTCCTTTTTTAAATAGCTCTTTTTCTTTTTTATTTTTCTATGCCCCATGGGAAGGGAAAAAGAATTTTCCCCCGTAAGCCATGGTGTGTATGAGGGGGCAAAAAATCCCGGGGCAAGGGCAGCCCCCTTCTCCTTATAAAATTTACTAAAAAGGGAGAAAAAAAAAAAAATTTTAAAAAACTGGGTTGCTTAAAGTGCGTGGATGTAGTGGGATGAAAAGGGAAACAGTGTTGCTGTGTTTGAATAAAAGAATTTGGTGTCCGGGCCCCAAAGCGAAAAAAAAGTAAAGGGGGGTAGGGGGTTTTCAGGGGGGGGAAATAATGGGTTAATCGGGGAGTTTGAGAGAGTTAGAGAAAAGGAAAGGGGTAGCAGTATTTTAAAATGATCAGTTATGGAAGGGGGGAAAAGAGAATATGAATGTTTTAAATTCAAGAATTTGTGGATTAAAGAAAAGGTTGGATGCGGAAGGGGTATAATAAGGTGTAGCCCCCGGAGAAGAGGGGAATGCAGAGGAGAGAGAGAGATTTTGGGAGATTTAAATGAAATGTTTTGGACCTTTGAACAGGAAGAGTAATTGTGGTGGGGATTTGAATGTAAAGTAGGAGAAATTTTTAGAGAGGGGTGGTGGTAATTTTGGGGGGCCCAGGTGTAAATGTTTAAGGGGAGCCCTTTTGAATTTGTTAAAAAGGGGTTTTAGTTATAGGTAAAATTTTTTTAAGAAAAAGAGGATAAAAAGTATACCGATATGATGTGGGGCAAAAATGACATTTGTTTGTTGGTTTGTTTTGGTGAAAAAAAATGTTGAGTGACTTCAGGAGTCATGTTTATAGAGGGGCCACAGTATACAGATCACTTTCTAGTTGTCTACATGGGGAGAAAAAAGGTAGATGGGATAAAAGGGAGAATAGAAGCTCGGGAAGGAGAGGTGAGGTTTATAAACAAAAGAGGAGGCAGTTAGGAAAGATATAACAGCTTTGGGGATAGATGGGTTTATGAGAGCATAGGAATGGGGTCGAAGAGGTATGGGGTAGGTTTAAAAATGGTTTAGTGTTAGAGTTTTCGCAGGTTTTGGTTACGGGAAAAGTGGGTTGAGGGGGAAAAGAGGGCGATTGGGGAATAAATGTTTAAGAGAGAGAAAGGGGGAAAAAAAAAGGTCATATGAGAAGTTTTTAAAAAGTAGAAGTGTGCAGGGGGAAAGGTATATGGGGGAAAAAGAGAGAAGTTAAGGAGGGGTAAAGCAATGAAAAAAGAGAGCAAATGAGAGAGTGGGTGAGATGTTATCAACAAATTTTGTTGAAAATAAAAAAAAAGTTTTGGAGTGAGATTAAAAAATTTAAGAAAAGCCGGGAAAAAAAAAGGGGATTTGTCATTTAAAAAAATAGGAGAGGAGAGTTATTAATGGAGAGAGAGGAAGGGGAAAGATGGAAGGGAAAATTTTTTTGGGGAATTGTTAAAGGGTTGATGAAGATAGGGAAGCTGTGTTTTTCGGTATAGGGAAAAGGAGGAATAAATCTTGTAGGAGTGGGAAAGGCCGTTTGAGGGGGGGAAGTTCGTGAGGCGTAGGTAAAAAATAAAAGGGGGGAAAGGGCCCAGGGGATTGAGGGGATAAAGATAAAAATTTTAAAAGCTTTTTTTGGGGGTTTTTATAGTTTTGGGTGGGGGGTGCAATTATTTAAAAATGTAGGGAAAGAGGTTAAGGTACCTGGGTGGCAGAGGCATGCATGTTCCTTTGTATTTAAAGGCTAGGGGATTAAAAGTGGTGCAAAAATTTTTGGTGATATGTCTTTGTGTGTCCTTAAGTGTATGGTCCTGTTATTTGAGATTCAGTTGCGGAGTGGTCTGATGATGATGCTTGTTGTCCAGGGCCGGCTATAAGTCGAACAAGTATTTATATGGCAAAGAGTCTTTAGTGCATTTAATATGATGCGAAATGACGCTTGTGGCTATGTGAGTGTTACAATTATGTGTAGGATATATAAAGCAAGTAAAGTTTACAATAATGATCAGTTAGAATGTAAAAGAGGGAAACTTATTTTAAAGTACCAACAAGGTGTGTGTGCTACGTGTGCGTTTAATTATTAAATGGGTTTAAGAGTGGTAAATGGGGTTTTGGGAAGGCGATATTAACAAGATTAAGAATAACACACTTAGGTAGTAAGGTTTTGTAGACACTAAGCCTTGGGGATCGGGAGTAAGATTGGTGTCAATTGGGGGTGTGAAACGAAAAATTAATTGTGTGTACAGGGAAGGTAGGTTGTGAGGTCAAATTTATGTAAATTCAATAAAATTTGCAAGAAGTTCAGGAGGTTGCTATTTCTACTTTGGGACTTAGGTCACACTAAAAAGATGAGGAATCATATAATTTATAGGACAAAGTGTGAGGTGTGCACTTAGAGTCTTGGAACAAAGTTACTTTTTTTCCCTCTTAGCTCAAGGGGGAAGTATGAGCAGAATTTTTCTTCCTAAGCCATGGTGTTGAAGGAGGGGATGAAAGGGCCGGGAGTAACCCCTGGCTGTGGAAATTCACTAAATTTTTAAAAATGAGAAATTCTTTTGTTTTGGGCCACCCTGTTCCGGTGGGATGAGGCGGGGTTGTTTGGGTTGGAATGTAGAAGAGAAGGGGAAAAGAATGACTTCAAGAGTGAAAATCATCTGTGAAGGCATTAGGGGTCCCTAATTATGGGGAAAGTGGGTTGGAATTCTTCCCATGCAGCCATGCTGTGAGCTGAATAAAGTAAATGGGACAAATGGGTTAGTAACCCCTTGATCTGTTGGAGTGTACTAAATATAAAAAGGGAAAAACTGGAGCCCTTTGTCCTGAGGGGGTAATGCCTACTTGGTGAGATGTAGGCAGTAAAAAAAAAACTCTTCTGGCAAGCGGGATTTTGTGCGTTTTCTTTTTATCCTTTAATCGGGGGTTTTGTACATAAACATAAATATTTTATTGGTATAATTCTTTTTTTAAAAATGCAACTGAAAAAGTGCATCCAAAATTAAATAACACATTATGAAGGCCTTTTCACATTCTAGTCAACTGTGGATGTACTTTTTGCTAAAAAAAAAAAAAAAAAAAAAAAAAAAAAAAAAAAAAAAAAAAAAAAAAAAAAATGTACAAACCTTCTCCCAGAAGTCCACTTTCATAGGATCAGACACTGAAGGATTATAATCATACAGAGACATTATAATGCTGAACTGAACCTTGACTAATATAGCATGTCCAAGATTATTGTCACGAGCAACATTAAGGAGCTCGTGAAGGAGTTCAATTTGTTCCTTGCGATCTGTTCCTTTCTTGCCTCGAGCAGCCATAATTTCGTTTAACTTCTTGTGCACAGAATTTACATTAATCTCATCATCCTTACCAAACATCTTGGGTTTTTCCTGAGAGAAAGAAAATTTATGAAATTACTAAGTTATGAGAAATTGAATTCTCATACAATTACTAGATTTGTACTTTTATTATAAAACTTAATACAGTGGACCCCCGGTTAACGATTTTAATCCGTGCAAGAGGGCTCATCGTTATGCGAAATAATCGTTATGCGAATGAATTTTCCCCATAAGAAATAATGGAAATAAAATTAATCCGTGCAAGACGCCCAAAAGTATGAAAAAAAATTTTTTTTACCACATGAAATGTTAATTTTAATACACACAAACTGAAAAAGGCATGCACAATTAAATGACACTTACTTTTATTGAAGATCTGGTGATGATTGATGGGATGGGAGGAGGGGAGAGAGTGTGTTAGTGTTTAGAAGGGGAATCCCCTTCCATTAGGACTTGAGGTAGTAAGTCCTTTTCTGGGGTTACTTCCCTTCTTCTTTTAAGCCACTAGGGCCAGCTTCAGAGTCACTGGACTTCTTTCGCACAAGATATCTGTCCATAGTGGCCTGTACCTCTCGTTCCTTTATGACTTGCCTAAAGTGTTTCACAACATTGTCAGTGTAATAATCACCAGCACGGCTTGCAATAGCTGTGTGGGGGGTGATTTTCATCCTGAAGGTTTGCACTTCAAGCCACTTAGCACAGATTTCCTTTATCTTTGTAGTAGGCAACTTCTTCAATTTCTCTCTCCCCTCCTCTGAACCAGTTTCCTCAGGTCTGGCCTCTTGCTCTTGAAGTTGATCTATCAGCTCATCAGTGGTTAGTTCTTCATTGTCCTCCTCCACCAACTCTTCCACATCCTCCCACTAACCTCCAACCCAAGGACTTTCCAATGCCACATGGATTCCTCAACTGGCACAGGATTCTCAGGGTTAGCCTCAAACCCTTCAAAATCCCTTTTGTCTACACATTCTGGCCACAGTTTCTTCCAAGCAGAGTTCAAGGTCCTCTTTGTCACTTCCTCCAAGCCTTACCTATAAGGTTTACACAATTGAGGATATTAAAGTGATCTCTCCAAAAAATCTCTTAGAGTCAGTTGAGTTTTGAGGTCATTACAAAGCACCTTTCAAACAGAGCTTTTGTGTACAGTTTCTTGAAGTTGGAAATAACCTGTGGTCCATGGGCTGCAGGAGAGGAGTGGTATTTTGGAGGCAAAAACTTCACCTTAATGAAGCTCATGTCCCATAAAGTCGCTCTGCCACGTCTGTAGGATGACCAGGGGCATTGTCTAACACCAGGAGGCACTTAAGTTCTAATTTCTTTTCAGTTAGGTAATTTTTCACATTGGGGGCAAATGCTGGTGTAACCAGTTATAGAAAAAATTCCCTAGTGACCATGCCTTACTGTTTGCCCTCCACAGCACACACAATTATCCTTGAGGACATTCTTTTGCCTGAACGCTCTGGGAGTTTCAGAGTGATACACTAATAAAGGCTTCACTTTGCAATCACCAGTAGCATTGGCACACATCAACAAAGTAAGCCTGTCTTTCATAGGCTTATGTCCTGGGAGTGCCTTTTCCTCTGAGTTAATGTAGGTCCTGCTTGGCATTTTCTTCCAGAACAGGCCTGTTTCATCACAATTAAACACTTGTTCAGGTTTCAGTCCTTCAGTTTCTATGTACTCCCTTTAAATTTCCTGCAATATTTTTCAGCCGCTTTGTGGTCCGAACTGGCAGCCTCACCATGCCTTATCACACTATGGATGCCACTACGCTTCTTAAATCTCTCAAACCAACCTTTGTGGCCTTAAATTCACTCACTCATCACTAGTTGCAGGCATTTTTTTAATTAATCCTCATGCAACTTCCTAGCCTTTTCACATATGATCGCTTGAGAGACGCTATCTCCTGCTATCTGTTTTCATTTATCCACACCAATAAGAGTCTCTCAACATCTTCCATCACTTGCGATCTTTGTTTCGAAAACACAGTTGAACCTTTGGCAAGAACAGCTTCCTTGATTGTCTTTCTGGTGCCCACAATAGTAGCGATGGTTGATTGGGGTTTTTGTACAGCTTGACTAGGTCGGCTATACGCACTCCACTTTCATACTTATCAATTATCTCTTTCTTCATCTCTATAGTAATTCTTACCCTTTGAGGTGTAGGGTTGGCACTAGAGCTTTTTGGGGCCCATGGTCACTTATTTTCCAGAAACAGCACCGAAAATACTGTAATAATACGAAATATTCCGAGTGTATGCTTGGATGTTACCGCGGAGGCTGGCTGGTAAACAATGGGACGGGGCGGCACATGTGAGGCTGGCTGAGGGCACATTGGACGCGTCTCGGACGAAAATCGGTATGCGGGTTTTTAATCGGTATGCGCGGCAAAAATTTTGCGATAAAAGTAATCGTTATGCGGAAAAATCGCTATGTGATGCCATCGTTATGCGGGGGTCCACTGTATAGTAAAGACTTACAGTACAATACATCAATAAATTTGTAGACATAAATGCACAAAATTATTACTATATCTTAATACATATACTGTACATACACCCAAGTGTCCCCTAAAGAGGCTACTCTTTTGCTATAGAGTACTGGACATTCAACACAAATTAAGGGATGAAACCAACAGCTGGAGTTGACCTCCACAAACTCAAGTAACTGGGTTTGATGGAATGTGTACTATGTATATTTATCATATTTAGTAATAAAAAATAAAGCACTGCATATTATTAAACTATGCATTATTCAAACAATCTGATGGGGAGAAAGGAAACTATATACTGTATGTAACAATGAATGTCCATCTGCCAGATCTTAGGATGAAAATACAAAAATTTATACAAGAAAAATGCTTATAATTTCAACCTAAACTATTAAGCACATCATCTAATCTTAGTGTATAACAATTTTGGTTTTATACTTATTTACTGTCACCCTGAATAAAAAAAAAAAACTAGAAACTTACCATGGGCATTGATGATCCTTTTTTTACGGTCTCCCATCCACCATCATCATCATCACTGTCCTCATCCTTTGCCTTATTCTCTCGTGGCAACCTCTTTTTCCTTTTCTTCAAATCATCATCATCCCTATCTGTGGTTTTCTTCAAGAATTTCTCTCTAGAAAGATTTTATTGTATTAGGTATAGAACATCGCACTAGAAGTGATAAACAACTCTTTTACTCCTATGATTACAACTCTCGTTATGAGTAAAATTGTTATTACACATGATATGACAAAAGTAATATAAACTTTAGGGAATCAATAATGCATGGGATTTTTTAATATGCAAATACTTTTTGTTTATGGGTGATGGTATCTCTAAATTGTTGGATAATATATCAATCTTGTAATTAACATACAGCACAAGAATTCATTTCAAATACACAAAAAACATGCATTATCAATGAGGTGATTACTGTACATATCAAATGAGTATGATATATACATTTCAATAAAAGAAAAATACTGAATTTAGGATTTCATATTCAAATTTTCATACCACTATATAGGCTTAATAAAAGAAAGTTAACAGTCATTAAAAAGTTAGACAAAATAAAATACTTAACTAAAAATTTACATGGGATTCTTCTTTTATATATAGAAGTCTGCTAACTTTGTTAGCTTGTTAATCGCCTACCTGAGGGTAAACATGCCACCACCACCATCAGACGAAGATGTCTCATCCTCAGTACTAGGACCCCAATCAATACTATCATCATCATCATCTTCATCGCTTCCCTTCTGATACTTCTTGGTAGTCCTGTGTATGGAATAGGTAGTAAGTTACTAAATGCTGTGAAGAGTTTTCATGAGGATAGTGAGGCTCAGGTTAGGGTATATAGGAGAGAGGGAGATTACTTACCAGTAAAAGTAGGCTTTAGACAAGGATGCATGATGTCACCATGTTTGTTTACCATATTTATAAACAGGATTGTAAAAAGTAAATGCTAGGGTGTTGGGGAGAAGGGTGGGATTATATTATATGGAATGAAATACAAAATGGGAGTTGACATGGTTACTTTTTGCTGATGTTACCATGCTTTTGGGAGATTCTGAAGAGAAGTAGCAAAGGTTAGTGGACGAGTTTAGGAGGGTGTGTAAAGGAAGGAAGTTGAAAGTGAACATAAATAAGAGTAAGGTGGTGAGGGCATCAAGACTGGAGGGAGGGAGTATGGAATGGAATGTGTTCAGATATTTGGGAGTGGGCATGTTAGTGAATGGGTATATGAGAGACAAGGTAAACCATAAAACTAATAACTGGAAAATGGTGAGTGGTGTATAAAGGTATCTGTGGAGGCAAAGAATGTTATCCATGGAGGCAAGGAAGGGAATGTATGAGAGTACAGTGGTACTAACACTCTTATATGGGTGTGAAGCATGGGTTGTGAATGTTGCAGCTAGGAGGATGCTGGAGGGGGTGGAGATGTCGTATCTAAGGGCAATGTGTGCCCTTAGACACAACATCAAAAATCCCTTTTAAATCAAAGGGATTCTGGAAGCAATAAAGTGCAAGGCTATGCACTTAAAAATCAGCTAATATATTAGGTTACAAAAGTATGGAGAAATGATCCTTTGCTATCCTAAATTCAAATGCACCTTTTTCTTGCTTGCTGATTGTTTTAGGCAATAAAATCTTCATAATAAGCCTATCTTGTCAGTATTAAGAATTTCCTCAAGCTTGAAGCCACCCTAAGAAATAATTTCCTATAACCAGGTGCACTTTCCCCACTGAATGTAATGTTATAGATCCCCCTGCGCATTATAAACAAACACTCTTGTGGGCCTTTCCTTTGGAGTTTTACAGGGAATGCAAACAGTCATCCCCCTTGCCCTGGGCATTGACAAAGCATTATTTTTGCATGGTAACAAAACTTAAACCGCAAATTATTGTCAACACAAGTTGCTGGTCTGCGAATTGTGTATTATTTCCAGCAAAGTGCTATAATCAATTAAGATAATTTCTAACTTAAAAATGAATTCTTCTAACTTATATTCATCAGATTTTCCTAGTATTCTTTGAGCACACTGGCCATCTCCCACTGGTGAGATAACAAAAAATATATATTCACCATCAATCCCCTGCTCCCTTTACATGATTTTGGTAGTCTATGAGTTACTCCTTTATCCTCTTCTTTACTGTTACTGTACTACCACTACCTTCTTTCTCCCTTTTCCTGACCTACTATCTTCTGATCTCTACTTTTTTTTTTTACTTAGCTGTGACTTCATAATGGTCCAGAATAGACCAAAATGTAGTCTAATTTCCATTTTAGGTTTGAGTTAATGTAAACTATCACCCATTAAATTGTTTAAATCATAATGAACTAATTCTCTTTATAAAATCACTTTAATACCAGATTCATTATATCTGTCCTGCTCTGCCATAAGGGATTTTCCATACTCTTCTCCAATGCTTATTTCTTCCCATTTACTAATCTGACATGCCATGTACAATGTAAGGGGAAATACACACTTGGTAACTGAAGATTCTTTCTTGAATGTTGCCAAATCCATGAGGTTGTTGTCATCCTCACTGTCATCATCCTGATCATCCCTCTCAATCTCTGCATCAGAATCTGGAGCATCTGGGTTCTCACGAAAGATGGCAATATCGGCATTATAGTCTCTGGCATATTTTCTGTACTTCTGCCGAAGAGTAGTCAAACCCTTGGCATTATTCTTGGACATGTTCTTCCTAAAATTGATTAAATATATATGTACAGATACTAGTATTACTTTCAACAAAAAAATTATATTAAAAAATACTGCATTAAAAGTAAATTAAACAATGACAACTTCAATGGCTTCCATTTTTTGTAAAAGTACATTTTTTTTTTTTAACAAATCGGCCGTCTCCCACTGAGGCAGGGTGACCCAAAAAAGAAAATCCCCAAAAAGAAAATACTTTCATCATCATTCAACACTTCCACCTCCCTCACACACACAATCACTGTTTTTGCAGAGCTGCTCATAATAAACAGCTCAGAAGCATATACGTATAAAGATACACAAAATATCCTTCCAAACTGCCAATATCCCAAACCTCTCATTTAAAGTGCAGGCACTGTACTTCCCATTTCCAGGACTCAACTCCGGCTATATAAAAATAACCGGTTTCCCTGAATCCCTTCACTAAATATTACCCTGCTCACACTGCAACAGCTCGTCATGTCCCAAATACCATTCGTCTCCATTCACTCCAATCTAACATGCTCACGCACGCTTGCTGGAAGTCCAAGCCCCTCGCCCACAAAACCTCCTTTACCACCCTCCCTCCAACCTTTTTGAGGACGACCCCTACCCCGCCCTCCTTCCCCTACAGATTTATACGCTCTCCATGTCATTCTAATTTCATCCATTCCCTCTAAATGACCAAACCACCTCAACAACCCCTCTTCAGCCCTCTGACTAATACTTTTATTAACTCCACACCTTCTCATAATTTCCGCACTCCGAATTTTCTGCATTATATTCACACCACACATTGCCTTTAGACAGAACATCTCCACTGCCTCCAACCGCCTCCTCGCTGCAGCATTTACAACCCAAGCTTCACACCCATATAAGAGTGTTGGTATTTCTATACTTTTATACATTCCCTTCTTTGCCTCCATAGATAACATTTTTTGTCTCCACATATACGTCAATGCACCACTCACTTTTTTTCCTTCATCAATTCTATGATTAACCTCATCCTTCGTAAATCCATCCGCCGACACCTCAATTCCCAAGTATCTGAAAACATTCACTTATTCCATACTCCTCCTCCCCAATTTGATATCCAATTTTTCTTTATCTAAATCATTTGATACCCTCATCACCTTACCCTTTTCTATGTTCACTTTCAACTTTCTACCTTTACACACACTCCCAAACTCATCCACTAACCTTTGCAATTTTTCTTTAGAATCTCCCATAAGCACAGTATCATCAGCAAAAAGTAACTGTCAATTCCCATTTTGTATTTGATTCCCCATAATTTAATCCCACCCCTCTCCCGAACACCCTAGCATTTACTTCTTTTACAACCCCATCTATAAATATATTAAACAACCATGGTGACATTACACATCCCTGTCTAATACCTACTTTTACCAGGAAGTAGTCTCCCTCTCTTCTACACACCCTAACCTGAGCCTCACTATCCTCATAAAAACTCTTTACAGCATTTAGTAACTTACCACCTATTCCATATACAGTACTTGTAACATCTGCTACATTGCTCCCCTATCCACTATCATATGCCTTTTCTAAATCCATAAATACAATAAAAACTTCCCTACCTTTATCTAAATACTGTTCACATATATGCTTCAATGTAAACACTTGATCTACACATCCCCTGCCCACTCTAAAACCTCCTTGCTCATCTGCAATCCTACATTCTGTCTTACCTCTAATTCTTTCAATAATAACCCTACCGTACACTTTTCCTGGTATATTCAGTAAACTTATTACTCTATAATTTTTACAATCTCTTTTGTCCCCTTCCCTTTATATAAAGGGACTATACATGCTCTCTGCCAATCCCTAGGTACCTTCCCCTCTTTCAAACATTTATTAAACAAAAATACCAACCACTCCAACACTATATCCCCCCCTGCTTTTAACATTTCTGTCATGATCCTGTCAGTTCCAGCTGCTTTACCCCCTTTCATTCTACATATTGCCTCACGCACCTCCCCCACACTCACATCCTGCTCTTCTTCACTCCTACAAGATGGTATACCTCCCTGGCCAGTGCATGAAATTACCGCCTCCCTTTCTTCATCGACATTTAAAAGTTCCTCAAAATATTCTAGCCATCTACCCAATACCTCCGTCTTCCCATCTACTAACTCCCCTACTCTGTTTTTAACTGACATATCCATTCATTCCCTAGGCTTTCTTAACTTGTTTAACTCGCTCCAAATTTTTTTCTTATTTTCATTAAAATTTCTTGACAGTGCCTCTCTCACTATCATCTGCTCTCCTTTTGCACTCTCCCACCACTCTCTTCACCTTTCTTTTACTCTCCATATACTCTACTCTTCGTATAACACTTCTGCTTTGTAAAAACCTCTCATAAGCTACCTTTTTCTCTTTTATCACACCCTTTACTTCATCATTCCACCAATCACTCCTCTTTCCTCCTGCACACACCCTCCTATAACCACAAGCTTCTGCCCCACATTCTAATACTGCATTTTTAAAACTATTCCAACCCTCTTCAACCCCCCCCCCCCACAACTCATACTTGCACTATCCCACCTTTCTGCCAATAGTTGTTTATATCTCACCTGAAATTCCTCCTCCCTTAGTTTATAAACTTTCACCTCCCTCTTACTTCTTGTTGTCATTTTCCTCTTGTCCCATCTACCTCTTACTCTAACTGTAGCTACAACTAAATTATGATCCGATATATCAGTTGCCCCTCTATAAACATATACATCCTGGAGTCTACCCATCAACCTTTTATTCACCAATACTTAATCTAATAAACTACTTTCATTACGTGTTATATCATACCTTGTATATTTATTTTTCCTCTTTTTCATAAAATATGTATTACTTATTACCAAACCTCTTTCTACACATAGCTCAATTAAAGGCTCCCCATTTTCATTTACCCCTGGCACCCCAAATTTACCTACTACTCCCTCCACAACATTTTTACCCACTTTAGCATTGAAATCCCCAACCACAAGTACTCTCACACTTGGTTCAAAGCTCCCCACATGTTCACTCAACATTTCCCAAAATCTCTCTCTCCTCTACATATGTATTACAAATACATATGTATTACAAAATCAAATACTAAATAAAACAATCAACCGCCTCAGCATATATCTATTCTGTTGTATCTAACCATCCTTTAATCAATCTAAGTACTATAAACATTAAAACCTTGCATCCTTGGGAATAAAGGCTATGCTGGTTTCTAAACAAAATCTGCCTGTTTCTCAAGTGCTGCCCTAGTCTATCCATTTTAACATTAACACTGACATGATATTGTTACAAGAGACAATCAAACATTAATACAAGTAAACTATGCTTAACCCTTTGAGGGTCGACAGGCCCTCTCCGAGACTCTTTCTCAGGGTCGGCCAAATTTAAAAAAAAAAAAAAAAAAAAATTCTTATGAAAAGATAGAGAATCTTTTCCCGATCATAATGACACCAAAAGTATGAAATTTGATGGAAAACTTATGGAATTATGCTCTCGCGAAGTTAGCGGTCTCAGCGATGTTTACGCATTGGCGATTTTGCCCACTTTGAGCCCCATTTTCGGCCAATTCCACTGTACTAGTCGACAAAAAACATGAATATTTCGCTAGAACTTCATTTTTTCTATCGAATGAGTGCAAGAAACCACCCATTTACCAATTTCAACTATCCAGTACAGTGGTCAGAATTTAGCAATTTTGCCAATTTCACACAAATTTCAAAAGATGCTAATTTCCATATAGGGTCCAGAATAAACAAGAAAGATATTCCTGGCACTAAAATGACATTTCCTCTGTTCATTAGTCACGTCTCAAGGCCCCTCTTACATTCTTTTGCTTTCCACTTTGAATTTTTATTCTCACAAAAAATAGAAGATTTACTGTTATGCAGGGTACTGCATTAGTGTAAAAAATGGTATAAATAATATTGGCACACTTGCAAAAGAATATTAGACTCACCAGTTGACGTGTATTGGATGCTTGGCATGATTTGTTTACTTTTGAACTTTGGTAAAAAGCGAACATTTCTGCTACTCTGAGCTCAACTTCAAGGTACTTTTCATTGTAAAACCAGTCAAAATCATCTCAATTTCTGTAATGTGTCTTCCATTCTATTAAATGAGACCAAGAAAACTAGAATACAACAATAAATACCATACAAAAATACAGTGCAAAGTCGCAGTTTTATTCCAAAAAAAACGTCATTATGCACTGTGTGCTGCAGGATTTTTTTTATACTGTGCACACTAACCACATAGACCCATTCTTTCATATGTAGGCCTACCAGCTTTCTCCCACTAGATTTGAGGGCGCTAGAATTTAGGCGTACTAGTACGTCAAAAACCCTGGGTCGTAAGCCGTACTAGTACAGCCGAAACCCTCAATGGGTTAATAATGTGGATAACCAACTGTTTTAACAAAAAATAAACCAATTAGGAAACTCACTAAAAATGGGATTAAAATTTTCCTGAAGCACTGGTCATATATAAAGTACGATAGTAAAAATAAGAAAATCCAACATAAGTATAGTATAATACAAAAAAAAAAAAAAAAAAAAAAAAAAAAAAACTATTCTGTCTAATGCTGTTCTGGAACTTCTCACTCTCTTTCAAAGAAAACAAAAAAATATAAACCATATAAATTATTCTACAACATCTGCTGAAAATGTGGAGTATTAACAAAATATGTAAAAAAATAAAATGAACAAAGACACTCCATATTTTCCCAAAATCATGGTAATTTGAATTTGAAAAAAATCAGTAACCAGTGGATAAAATATCAAATAGTAGTGTATTTTCCACACATTATAGTGCAGTAATCAGAAATGAATTCTACTAAACATTACATACATCACAATTACCAACATACCTGCCAGTCCTATCCTCCCAGACAGTCTGGATGAAATCATCAAGTTCTGCCAAGCAACGAATGAAGAATCTTGGAGTTTTACCCCCTTCTTCTTTCTGCACTACAGGTAGTGCCTTGGTGTAGGCACGGCACAAGTCCTCAAAACCTGGGAGGTTATAAAAAAAAAAAAAAAAATCATACCTTTATACAAGAACACACAAATTCTGAATACATGGTTAGAACGCTGATATACAAATACAGTGGTCCCTTGTTTTTCATAAGCATCGAAAGTCGTATTTTTCGAAAATCGTAACTTTTTTCATCAAAACATTGACTCGTGAATCCTCGTTTGACTCGCAAATAGTCATTTGTCCCAGACGCATATGCGTGCCTCGAGCAGCCCCACACTCCATTCCCAGCCAGTGCGCCATTGTTTATCAGTGAGTGAGGACAATCCCATGCGTTCATACAATACATTTCATAATATTCCATCAATTTTAGTGCTTGCAACTGCTAAATAAGCCACCATGGCTTATTTAGAAAAATAAGAAAGTGGTGGTGGTAGAGGGTGGTAGTGATTGTGATGGTAGTAGATGGTGGTATTAATGGTGGTAGAGGGTGGTAGTGATGGTGGCAGAGGGTGGTAGTGATAGTGGCAGAGGGTGGTAGTGATAGTGGCAGAGGGTGCCTTCTTCAGTGATTCAGCGATTCTACTAACTCCTTCAATATTGTTGGAGTTATATAGGGCTATAGAAAACACCGCCGCCTCAGCTGCAGCCTTCACCAACATTGTGTGTAGCTTATGCTCTCAGTGGCCCTTATACACCCAACAAGAACACAACACCAGTTGTGACATACATAATGATTTATTTTATTCATTCTAGAGTATATTCCAAGTTTCTGTTATTAATATTGTTTATGTCATATTAGCTGAATTTTGATAGATAAATAAGCTGTAGAGTTGATATTAGTGTCACATTCTCCAACAATAAACTCGCCTCCCCTCCCTCTGCCATACACCAACAAGAGTCTTTAATAAAGGTGTGATGTTAAATGCTCATTTATACATTTTATTAGTGCTTTACATTATTTTGTCACTCTTTTCTGCATGTAAATCTATATTTAAGCTAGGGAAGTGACCCCTGATAAGGATTTGGTACCTAGAGTCCTTATGGAGGGGGATTCCCCATCCAAACACTAACCTCTCCCCTCATCCCCATCTTCCATCCAACAGCAACAGCCTTCAATAAAGGTAACTGTCATGTTGAATGTTCATTCTTTTGTGCATGTAAATCTATCTTTAAGATAAAAAAAAAAACTGTCGATACTTCTGGGTGTCTGGAACAAATTAATTTGATTTATATTATTTATGGGGAAAATGGCTTCACAAATTGTCAATTTTGATAATAGTCACACTCTCTGGAACAGATTAATTACGAAAAACAAGGGACCACTGTATACCAGTAAAATCTCCACTTGTATTTATCTTACAGGACTATGAATCAGTTTACTGTAAGTGGCTGTATCATTAAGACAATTATTATTATAATCAAAACAAAGTGCCGAACCCACTAGGGTCATAAAGCATCATGAACACAAGGTTTGAGAAATACATAAGCACTAAGGAAGAGTACTTGGAAAGTGAAAAATTAACAGGTAAATAATAGACATCTTGATGTTTCTCTGAAAAGTCAAATATAAAAAACTAAAGAATACTTTAACAATGTCTATATATTCATTATAATCATGCAACTGACTCTTCAAACAAGATAAACAGATGATATATTGATAATGTATATTAAGAACCTACTTGAGAGTAAATTGGACATGTCCTTATTTTTTTTATAATTCTTAATATTCTTGATGGCATTTTTGAGTTCCTCGTAGCGCTTTTCCTTGGCAGAGCGAACAATACGTTTAGTGTCTTCCTCATCTTCACTAAACTGTTTGCAAATGAACATTTAATTAATACAACAACTTTCATGTTACAGAGAACTTGCATTTCATGTTCTTATTTCAAGAACTTCTACAGTATTAATAATGAACAAGTGAAGATTCACAAAACAATTACTAACAAAAAAATTCAATTCATAACACATGGCAAATTAAAACATTCTATTATGTACATATCTGTCAGATTGGAATGAATGGAAACAAGTATTTTTTGTGTGTGTTTTGTTGGGATGCAGGAAAATCAGTTAGCGAGACTTGAGTTCTGGAGGTGGATAGTGTAGTTTCTGCCTCTTCAAAGGATGGATGGGAATGTTACAGTTCAGAGGGTCATCTATATGCAATTTATAGCATTTACTGAGCATTTACAGGGACTATCAGTCCTGAGTGGACAAAATGTCTTTTCAATAAAAGCCATAAAAAGCATACTATGTCTTATTCGCATACTTGTGAGTATATTTTACTACTGATATTCAGACGGTCATTTGAAATGCCATGTTTGCACACTTCTATCAAGACAGCAACTGAATGAAAGACTGTAAAGATGTTTTCTTCTTAACCCTTAAACTGTCCAAACATAGATCTACGTTCACGTGCGTAGTGCTCCGACCTTTATTTTCCCCATTTGAGAGCATGTAAACAAAAACTTAGATCTATGTTCGGAGCCCCCCGCACATGAACGTAGATCTACATTTGGACAGTTTACAGGTTAAGGATATCCTACCACGAGATATTGCAGCGGTAAAAATGTACAGGATGTTTTATAAGCTTATTACGTGCTACCAGAGACAAATTTATATTATGCAAATAAATTCACCCATTTTCTCAAAATAAAAGGCATACATCAGAAGCTACGAAAACCAAAATGCCTATTTTTATTTAGGTACAACAATAAAACAGGGTTAACCCTTTCAGGGTCCAAGGCCAAAATCTGAAGTGGTGCCCCAGTGTCCAAGAATTTTCAAAAAAAAAAATTTTTTTTTTTCTTATGAAATGGTAGAGAATCTTTTTGTGAATGTAATAAAACAAAAAGTACGAAATTTGATGGGAAATTGACGAAATTATGCTCTCGTGAATTTTGATGTGTCAGCGATATTTACGAATCGGCGATTTTGCCGACTTTGACTCCCATTTTAGGCCAATTACATTATTCCAGTCGACCAAATTCTTAGCTATTTCACTAGGATTACTTCTATTCTATCGATTGAGCACAAGAAATCGCCAAGTCAACTGTTTCAACTACAAAATAAAGTGACCGGAAATTGGTAATTTGGCCAATTTAACACAAAGTTCAAAATATTCCAATTTCAAAATAGGATCCAGAATAAACAATGTAGGTATTCCTGGCACTAAACTAACACTTCCTCTGTTCATTAGTTACGTTTTGAGGCTTTACAAATAAATTCCATTTTTATTTTTTATTCACATAATGAATTTTTATTCACACCAAAAAATAGAAGATTTACTGTTATGCAATATTGTAATAATTGTATAAATATCATCACCACATTTATGATGTATATTAGACCGACCAGCTGGCGTGTATTGACGTGTGAGGTCGTTTGTTTACTCTTGAACATCGGCAAAAATTTAACATTTCCGCCACTTTGAGCTCAGTTTCAAGCCATTTCCAGTGCTAAAACCAATCAAATTTATCTCTATTTCTGTAATATGTCTTCCATTCTATCAAATGAGACCAAGAAATCACAAATAAAAACTATAAAAAACATACAAAAAAACACTGCAAAGTCGCTGTTTTAATCGAAAATCACGGTCTCAGTTTTTTTCCTCTCATTATACACAGTGTGCTGCAGGATTTGTTTTATGTGGTGCACACATACCACATAGATGTATTCTCTCATATCTAGGCCCAAATTTATCACTCACAGTTTATCAGAGTGAGCTGAGCTCATGACGTAGATCTACGGTTTGGACCCTGAACGTAAAGCCGTAGATCTACGGGACGGACCCTGAAAGGGTTAAAAGGTGTCTTTCTTTAAAAAATTGTATGTACAGCACTGTACTGTATTTTGACTATATATTATATGCAGTATGAATATTTTTAGGTTACAGTACTAAATCTAACTCTCACCACAAATGCTGCTGCAGAAATGCCAGTTGGCTCATTAATAACCTCCTCTTCACTGGACTCTGAATCCGACTCAGAGTCAGACATGAAGAAGCGGGACGTCATGGCGGTGGACATCTAGAACCCCACAGCAATGAAGACCTAAGATTTATATTATTAGGTTAGGTTACATAATCCAATAAAAATGTATATTTAACCACAAATAGACAAAAAAATTCCTCGTCATGCTTTGCATGGCCAGGAAATTTAGTAACCAAGGAAGTTTATTCAGGTACAGGTATACATAAATAGTTACATAAATTATCACACACAGCAGCATATGTGATTACCTAAGATAATCCAAAAAAAGTCTAAGTAACTTAGTTCCATCTATACTTTCTATATAGTATGTCATTAATGTCAGCTATAGTATACCTGTGTAAGTTGTATCATGTACTTGTAAAAATAAAGATTATAAAGTATTATAAATTACATTTCGTGATGCAGGTCTTAGTCATATGTAAGTTTATTTAGGTACAGAAACACAAATAGTTACACAAAGTATCATACATGAACACTTGTAAATTACATAGGATAACCCAAAGATGTCATTTTATATATACAGTGGACCCCCGCTTAACGATCACCTCCAAATGCGACCAATTATGTAAGTGTATTTATGTAAGTGCGTTTGTACGTGTATGTTTGGGGGTCTGAAATGGACTAATCTACTTCACAATATTCCTTATGGGAAAAAATTCGGTCAGTACTGGCACGTGAACATACTACTGAAATGAAAAAAGTTCGTTAACCGGGGGTCCACTGTGTGTGTATGTATGTATGTATGTATGTATGTATGTATGTATATATGTATATGTATGTATATGTATGTATGTATGTATGTATATATATATATATATATATATATATATATATATATATATATATATATATATAGTGGAAGGAAGGCGGGGTAGGGGTCGGCCTAGGAAGGGTTGGAGGGAGGGGGTAAAGGAGGTTTTGTGTGCGAGGGGCTTGGACTTCCAGCAGGCATGCGTGAGCGTGTTTGATAGGAGTGAATGGAGACAAATGGTTTTTAATACTTGACGTGCTGTTGGAGTGTGAGCAAAGTAACATTTATGAAGGGATTCAGGGAAACCGGCAGGCCGGACTTGAGTCCTGGAGATGGGAAGTACAGTGCCTGCACTCTGAAGGAGGGGTGTTAATGTTGCAGTTTAAAAACTGTAGTGTAAAGCACCCTTCTGGCAAGACAGTGATGGAGTGAATGATGGTGAAAGTTTTTCTTTTTCGGGCCACCCTGCCTTGGTGGGAATCGGCCAGTGTGATAATAATAAAATAAATATATATATATATATATATATATATATATATATATATATATATTATATATATATATATATATATATATATATATTATATATATATAAAATGCAAAAGTAGGAGAAACTTTTAGAGAGGGTGTGGTAGGTAAGTTTGGGGTGCCAGGTGTAAATGATAATGGGAGCCCTTTGATTGAACTTTGTATAGAAAGGGGTTTAGTTATAGGTAATACATATTTTAAGAAAAAGAGGATAAATAAGTATACAAGATATGATGTAGGGCGAAATGACAGTAGTTTGTTGGATTATGTATTGGTAGATAAAAGACTGTTGAGTAGACTTCAGGATGTACATGTTTATAGAGGGGCCACAGATATATCAGATCACTTTCTAGTTGTAGCTACACTGAGAGTAAAAGGTAGATGGGATACAAGGAGAAGAGAAGCATCAGGGAAGAGAGAGGTGAAGGTTTATAAACTAAAAGAGGAGGCAGTTAGGGAAAGATATAAACAGCTATTGGAGGATAGATGGGCTAATGAGAGCATAGGCAATGGGGTCGAAGAGGTATGGGGTAGGTTTAAAAATGTAGTGTTGGAGTGTTCAGCAGAAGTTTGTGGTTACAGGAAAGTGGGTGCAGAAGGGAAGAGGAGCGATTGGTGGAATGATGATGTAAAGAGAGTAGTAAGGGAGAAAAAGTTAGCATATGAGAAGTTTTTACAAAGTAGAAGTGATGCAAGGAGGGAAGAGTATAAGGAGAAAAAGAGAGAGGTTAAGAGAGTGGTGAAGCAATGTAAAAAGAGAGCAAATGAGAGAGTGGGTGAGATGTTATCAACAAATTTTGTTGAAAATAAGAAAAAGTTTTGGAGTGAGATTAACAAGTTAAGGAAGCCTAGAGAACAAATGGATTTGTCGGTTGAAAATAGGAGAGGAGAGTTATTAAATGGAGAGTTAGAGATATTGGGAAGATGGAGGGAATATTTTGAGGAATTGTTAAATGTTGATGAAGATAGGGAAGCTGTGATTTCGTGTATAGGGCAAGGAGGAATAACATCTTGTAGGAGTGAGGAAGAGCCAGTTGTGAGTGTGGGGGAAGTTCGTGAGGCAGTAGGTAAAATGAAAGGGGGTAAGGCAGCCGGGATTGATGGGATAAAGATAGAAATGTTAAAAGCAGGTGGGGATATAATTTTGGAGTGGTTGGTGCAATTATTTAATAAATGTATGGAAGAGGGTAAGGTACCTAGGGATTGGCAGAGAGCATGCATAGTTCCTTTGTATAAAGGCAAAGGGGACAAAAGAGAGTGCAAAAATTATAGGGGGATAAGTCTGTTGAGTATACCTTGTAAAGTGTATGGTAGAGTTATTATTGAAAGAATTAAAAGTAAGATGGAGAATAGGATAGCAGATGAACAAGGAGGCTTTAGGAAAGGTAGGGGGTGTGTGGACCAGGTGTTTACTGTGAAACATATAAGTGAACAGTATTTAGATAAGGCTAAAGAGGTCTTTGTGGCATTTATGGATTTGGAAAAGGCATATGACAGGGTGGATAGGGGGGGCAACGTGGCAGATGTTGCAGGTGTATGGTGTAGGAGGAAGGTTACTGAAAGCAGTGAAGAGTTTTTACGAGGATAGTGAGGCTCAAGTTAGAGTACATAGGAAAGAGGGAAATTATTTCCCAGTAAAAGTAGGCCTTAGACAAGGATGTGTGATGTCACCGTGGTTGTTTAATATATTTATAGATGGGGTTGTAAGAGAAGTAAATGCGAGGGTCTTGACAAGAGGCGTGGAGTTAAAAGATAAAGAATCACACATAAAGTGGGAGTTGTCACAGCTGCTCTTTGCTGATGACACTGTGCTCTTGGGAGATTCTGAAGAGAAGTTGCAGAGATTGGTGGATGAATTTGGTAGGGTGTGCAAAAGAAGAAAATTAAAAGTGAATACAGGAAAGAGTAAGGTTATGAGGATAACAAAAATATTAGGTGATGAAAGATTGGATATCAGATTGGAGGGAGAGAGTATGGAGGAGGTGAATGCATTCAGATATTTGGGAGTGGACGTGTCAGCGGATGGGTCTATGAAAGATGAGGTGAATCATAGAATTGATGAGGGGAAAAGGGTGAGTGGTGCACTTAGGAGTCTGTGGAGACAAAGAACTTTGTCCTTGGAGGCAAAGAGGGGAATGTATGAGAGTATAGTTTTACCAACACTCTTATATGGGGGTGAAGCATGGGTGATGAATGTTGCAGCGAGGAGAAGGCTGGAGGCAGTGGAGATGTCATGTCTGAGGGCAATGTGTGGTGTGAATATAATGCAGAGAATTCGTAGTTTGGAAGTTAGGAGGAGGTGCGGGATTACCAAAACTGTTGTCCAGAGGGCTGAGGAAGGGTTGTTGAGGTGGTTCGGACATGTAGAGAGAATGGAGCGAAACAGAATGACTTCAAGAGTGTATCAGTCTGTAGTGGAAGGAAGGCGGGGTAGGGGTCGGCCTAGGAAAGGTTGGAGGGAGGGGGTAATGGAGGTTTTGTGTGCGAGGGGCTTGGACTTCCAGCAGGCGTGCGTGAGCGTGTTTGATAGGAGTGAATGGAGACGAATGGTTTTTAATACTTGACATGCTGTTGGAGTGTGAGCAAAGTAACATTTATGAAGGGGTTCAGGGAAACCGGCAGGCCGGACTTGAGTCCTGGAGATGGGAAGTACAGTGCCTGCACTCTGAAGGAGGGGTGTTAATGTCGCAGTTTAAAAACTGTAGTGTAAAGCACCCTTCTGGCAAGACAGTGATGGAGTGAATGATGGTGAAAGTTTTTCTTTTTCGGGCCACCCTGCCTTGGTGGGAATCGGCCGGTGTGATAATAAAATATATATATATATATATATATATATAATATATATTATATATTATATATATATATATATATATATATATATATATATATAATATATATATATATATATATATATATATATATATATATATATATATATAATATATATATATATATACATATATATATACATATATATATATATATATATATATATATATATATAATTATATATATATAATATATATACACTATATATAATATATATATATATATATATATTATATATAATATATATATATATATATATTAAATGACCCGGCAAGTTACTCCACATAATCAGCTTTTATTAGAAGTTTCTACATATGTTGAAACCAGCACGAGGAACTATACAGGTCACTACACAGGGAACTCGCACCTTCCCTCCTCTCTCACACTTAACAAACACTCCACACACAATATTCTTAATAATTGCAAAATATAATATCCGCCCGGCATGTATTTACGCCATAATGAGGAGAAATGTGTGTCGACTTACGTTGTGTTGGAGAGCCAGCCACCAGAGACCACCAGCACCTACACACCTAAATATTATATATAACCTGGAGGGAACAAATGCATATATTGAGCTTTCCTATAATATATTAATTATTTTAACAAACAATATTCATTTTTTAGATGTTAGATGTATATATATTTTTTTTTTTTTTTTAAGCTGGTAAATATGTACTGAATACAATGTGGACTTATGGACATTTTGTGGCTTATGTGTGTGTATAAAAGTAAGTAGGTTTATTTTAGTACATATACACATGAGTACAATTATCATGCATAGTAACGCTTGTTTAAATTACCTAGGATTGCCCCCCCCCCAAAAAAAAAAAATCGGACAAAGTGACTTATTTCCACACGAATCAAATTGTTATTTCTTATACAAAATGTTATTTTGGGAAATATTAGCATAAATAATACTTTTATTTTGGGACATGCAGCAATCAATGGAAATAGGTCACTGACTTTTTTGGGTTATCCCAGGTTGTCTACACATATGCTGCTATGTATGATAATCTATGTAACTGTATTTGTGTATACCTGAATAAACTTACTTAGTCACCAATCACCAACAAGCATCAATAACAGCGAATGTAAAGTCCCATATCTACCAGTGGCGGAGGAGGGAGTGCTGCTTCAGTCTTGTCGAGTGGGAGGTCCACTGGACCTGTAGTATACCTGGAGGGTGTTCCGGGGGTCAACGCCCCCGCGGCCCGGTCCATGACCAGGCCTCGTGGTGGATCAGGACCTGATCAACCAGGCTTTTACTGCTTGCCATATGTAAACCAACATAATAATCATAGCCCGGTTGGTTAGGTACTGACTTTAGGTGCCTGTCTAGCTCCTTGAAGACAGCCAGGGGTCTATTGGTAATCCCCCTTATGTATGCTGGGAGGTAGTTGAAGAGTCTTGGGCCCCTGACACTTATTGTGTTGTCTCTTAGTGTACTTATTGAACCCCTGCTTTTCAGTGCCCAGGTTTGGGCACTGTGGAAGCACTGGTGACGTGTGGGCATCTTGGTTTTGCCTGGGATTGGTGAGGAATTTCCTCTCAAGGAACGTTCCTTGATGCTGGTGAAGGGCTCTTGATCAAGGGAATTGACTCAAGAAATCGTAATGACACGATTGCAAGCAAACCATACCACGGGTGGGATTTGAACCCGCGGTCAGAGAGTCTCAAAACTCCAGCCCGTCGCGTTAGCCACTGGACCAGCTAGCCACAATAAGATTCGTCCAACTATGTATATTTCTACACCATAGCAAGGTTAGCATAGGCACCACTGTGACCACAAATGCAAGTTTTTACAGACGAATCTCCAGCACAGACACATAGGACAACTTTATTGGGAAACGTTACGCCTACACAGTAGGCTTCTTAAGTCGAGTACAGAAAGTAGGCAGGAGCAGTAGAGATGTGAAGACGATGTATCAGTCCATCACCCTTGCAGATGTAGAACTGAGGTTGTCAGTCCCTCAGCCTGAAGGAGAGTTCTGTTCCATAGTCTGAAACAATGTGAAAATCAAGCAACAGTGTTGAGACTTATATACTGTCTGAAGGAGAGGTGCAGAGTAGCAGATGGAAGAATGTAATCAGTGAGAGGTCACGTCCATCTCAGATTCAACCATTCTCACTTGAAAAAGCTGTCCAAAGTGTTTTCCCTTCTGTACCAAGATGCCATTTGGACAACTTTTTCAAGTGAGAATGGTTGAATCTGAGATGGACGTGACCTCTCACTGATTACATTCTTCCATCTGCTACTCTGCACCTCTTCTTCAGACAGTATATAAGTCTCAACACTGTTGCTTGATTTTCACATTGTTTCAGACTATGGAACAGAACTCTCCTCCAGGCTGAGGGACTGACAACCTCAGTTCTACATCTGCAAGGGTGATGGACTGATACATCGTCTTCACATCTCTACTGCTCCTGCCTACTTTCTGTACTCGACTGAAGAAGCCTACTGTGTAGGCGGAACGTTTCCCAATAAAGTTGCCAATGTGTCTTACCTACCAGGATAAGAGTTTGTTGGAATTTTTAACCCTGGAGGGTTAGCCATCCAGGATAACCCGAGTCAGTGCGTCATTGAGGACTGTCTTATTTCCACTGGGGTCCTTAAATCTTGTCTCCCCCAGGATGTGACCCACACCAGTCAACTAACACTCAGGTACCTACTTGCTTTCTAGGTGAACGGGACAACAGGTGTAAGGAAATATGCCCAATGTTGCCACCCGTGCTGGGGATCGAACCACGGACATGGACATCTGTTCCTTGTTCTTCCATTACCCAATTTTGAGCAACATCTTTTCCTGGTGGAAATAAGTAATTTACACATATGTTCCTATGTATGATAATTGTACTTATGTGCACCAGTACCTAAATAAAGTTACATCTGAGGAAGCCAGGCTGGAGGAAGATGCAGCATCACAACCTGTCAACCCAACAACACCAGATCATAAGTAAGTTTATTCAGGTACAGGTACACATTAATACACTTACATAAATTATCATATATGGCAGTACATTTGTAGATTACCTAGGATAACCCAAGAAAGTCAAAGTGACTTATTACCATTGGGGTTTATGTAATGAGGTTTACAGTGACAATTTTTATGTAGGAACTTTATAGTGTGGACTCGTCTTCTGTATTAACAAGTCTACTTTTCATTTACAATAAATGTATGTAGTGATGTGGACGTAGAATAAATTAGACAGTTTGGTTGGTAGAGCCCTCAGCTCACACATAGAGGAGTCTGGGATCGATCCCGGCACGGGTGAAGTTAATTTTAGGTACAGGGACAAGTAAGTATAATTATCATACATAGTGTAAATTACCTACTGGAACCCGGTATATCCATCTAGGATAACCTAGTGAAGTTGGTGCATCATTAAAGATTGTGTCTTATTTCCATTGGGGTCCTTTTAATCATGTCCCCAGGATGCAACCCACAACAGTCAACTGAAACCCAGGTACTAGCTGAACAGGGACAACAGGTGTAGGGAAACACGCCCAATGTTTCCATTCGTGATGGGGATTGAGCCACAGACACTCAATATGTGAGACAAGTGTGCTATCAACTTAGCCAGAGGTATGATAAAGGCCATGGAGCAGGGAGAGTGGACCTAGTAGCAAGCGGTGAAGAGGCAGGCCCAGGAGCTATGACTCGATGCTTGCAACCACAATTAGGTGAGTATAGTTAGATGAGTACAGCCGTTAGGCATGTTTTCTTACACTTGTTGTCCCTGTTAACTGTTCACTCACTAGATGAGCCTGGCCCATGGCCGGGTTCAGAGTAGATAAACTCTCGAAACTCTTCAAAGGTATATCAAAGGTAAGGTATACCAATAAGATGGTACCTGGATTTCAGCCAACTGTTGTGGCTTGCATCCTGGGGAACAAGATTAACTTAGGCTGCCTGAAATGCTCTGCATAACAAAGGACTTTCTATACAATATACAAATAATGTCAACTAGGTTTATATCAGTTGCATCATGTATAAATTATTATTATTAGAGCACTAATCCTATATTAGTACATTTATGGGGGAACGCTAAACCTGTAAGGTCATATGCTGTATGAACCCTGTGGTTTTAATAATAATAATGTAAGGTCATATAGCACTGGGGAAATGGGATGCATTCAGGTTTGATTCAAGTAAGGGGAGGCCCCAGTCATTGAATCATGATCCAGCTCTGTGTAATAATAATAATATGCAGGTGGCCTGTGGCTTGGTAGGCAACACTTTCACTTCACATGCTGAGTGTCCATGGTTTCCTTACACCTGTTGCCCCATTCACCTAGCAACCAAGTAGGTACCTGGGTGTTAGTTGATTGATGTGGGTTGCATCCTGGGGGACAAGATTGAGGACCCCAATGGAAATAAGACAGACAGTCCTTCAGTGATGCACTGATGGTTAAAAATCCCAACAAAATCTTATCTTATTTTATCTTACTATAGGTATTCTACTTAGGGTTTAACATACTGTAATCAACAGTTTCAGTTCCAGTTTGATTTGCTAGCATAACCCCAGCCTGAGTCTTGTCCACGAAGTGATGCAGCATAACTTGACATGTATACAATGGTTGCAATAAGCAAAATTTTTACATACATGCACTAATTATAAAGTATACAGATTTAGCTTGAGAAAACTTTAAGTTCAACAGCATGGCATAGTTTCACTGAAGTTCCAAACAGTAAAATTAATAAAATAAAGTTTATTTCTTTGTAAAGGTTACAATGTGTAATTGCAATTTTGATTTGCTAAGTACAAAGATAGCCACTATCATGCCGAGGCATTTCGGGCAAACTAATCCTAATACATAATAACTAATTAAAACTAGATAAGATAATAGTACATAGTAACTATACTTAAAACTAGACAAGTAATAGTGGTTAATACAAGTGAGAGGTAGTAAGGTGGAGTAGGGTTTGGTAAAATAATCTTGAAATTGCACACAAAATCTACCTTACAAGTAATGGTGCAGGTGTTAATATTTTATGGAATGGAATTAAAAGCCAGGAGGTCACATAAAACTAATTAGCAGATGTTTTGGCCAATTTGGTTAATATTGAGAAATAAGATGATTTTATGGATTGGCAGAATTAAGAGCCTAGAGGTCACATAATAAAACTAGTTAGTAGATGTTGTGGTTGATTTGGTTAATATTGTGAATAAGATGATTTTTTAGCCAAGTCCTAAATTTATGAGCTGTCAGGGGATCCTTGATCTGTTCCGGTAGTGAGTTCCAGATCTTCGGGCCTTTTATGTGCATAGCGTTCTTGCATAGTGAGAGACTGATTCGAGGGATGTTGGAAAGTGCCTTATGCCTTGTATTGTGGCTGTGCATTCTGTTGTAACTGTAAGGAGTAGTTTTAGGGGAGGGTTTACAGTGGAGTTTAATGTTTTGTAATTGAAGTAGGCACAATAAAGAGAGTGTGTCTTGTATATTTAGCAAGTTGAGTCTTTTGAAAAGTGGTGGGGTGTGTTATCTAGCACAGGAGCTGGTTATCACTCACACAGCAGCTTTTTGTTGGATTATTAAGGGTCTAAGGTGGTTGGCTGTGGTTGAGCCCCAGGCACAAATACCATAGGTGAGGTAAGGATGTATTAG